AATTATAAACTAATACAAAGTTTCCCAAAGCAGTAAAGGAAAAATGGCTATATACTTTCTGGAGTTCAAACTTAACCTAAATTTGACAAAAATAATTATTTATACACAACTGAAATTGTCGGACAAAATTGCCCATGCGGAGGTTCTGTGGCCGCACAATTCTGTGTGCGGTCCGCACTTTGAAGCTGGGCTTGACAGGATGGACTTCTGCGGCCGTACAATTCTGGGTTGCGGCCGCACGTCTTCAGATTCTGCGGACCGCACATTTCTGAGTGCGGCCGCACTCTTGAATTTGAGCTTGACAAGAGGGACTTATGCAGACCGCACATTTCTGAGTGTACCCGCACTCTTGAATTTGCGGCCGCACAATATTAGTACGGTTTGCACTTATTCATGGACTCAGAACTCTATCTCTCTGAATCTCATCTTCTGCGGCCGCACAATAATTGTGTTGTCCGCACTTTGCAAAGGAATTCTGTCAGAGGTCCTTCATAGTCTGCGGCCGCACTCAATATTGTGCGGTCCGCACTTTGCTCTTTTTGCTTGGTTTTAGTCCTTGTCCAAAAATACTCCTTTTTGAGTTGAATTTCATCATTTTGGCTCTTTTTCTAATGCTCCTGCAAGTAAGCACATTTTATCAGTTTTCGGGAATACCTTTAAGCATTTTTGAGCTATAACTAAAGTAAAAGAGTGCAAATAAGTAGTCAAAATACCTACATATCAGCCTATCCGAAACTCATCTGAGCCTCTCGGGCTCCAAAATAAATATTCACACATGTGTAATAACATCATACGAAATTGCTCGCACAATCAAATATCAAAATAACACCTAGCACAACGAATCAGACATCAAAATGAATGATATTTTCAAAGAAACTCAAGAACATGAAATTTTACAACGAGACGTCCGAATCACGCCAAATCAACTCCGTTTTGTATCAAATTTTGCAGACAAGTCATAAATACTGAAATAAACCTATATCAAGTTCCAGAACCGAAATCCGAATCCGGTAGCAATAAAGTCAACCTACGGTTAAACTTAAAAATTCTTTAAATCTTTAAATTGTTAGTTTTCAACAAATTATGTTAAATCAAGTTAGGGACTTTCGAATTCGATTTCGCGCACGCGCCCAAGTCCCAAATCACGATACGGACCCACCAGAACCGTCAAAATACTGATCTGGATCCGTTTATGCAAAACGTTGACCGCAGTCAACTCAAATGAGTTTTAAGGAAAAGTTTCACATTTTCTTCAATTTTTCACATTAAATTTTTTTGAAAAAAGATACAGATTGCGCACGTAAATTGATAAAGGCTAAGCGGATCTATCTGAGGCCTCAAAATACAGAAATGAAGGGTAAAACTATAAATGACCTATCGGGTCATCACATTCTCCACCTTTAAAATAAATGTTCGTTCTCGAACGGACATAGAAAGGTACCTGGACTGATGAAAATGTGTGAATATCTACTCCGCATGTCCGACTTGGTCAACCCATCCACAATGACCAATACCGCGTCGAACTTCTCTTAAGTAGAAGTGAAAGCGTATCACTATGGATTTTGTTGGATTCCCACGGACCCATACCGATATTGAAAGTAGTACTACACCTCCTCCTACTACTTATATATGTAGAGATGAGCTGGATATTAAGAAGAAGCCCAAAATCAAGAAAAAAGTGAAATTTGATGTTGAACCTAAATACCAATATCCAACAGAAGAAGAAAGCAATGAGGAGCAAAAAAAAAAGAATACTAGTAGTTCTTTTGATGATCATGCAAATATAATGGGGTTAAAGTGAAAATATTGGTGAAAAAGAAAGATGCAACAAGGTTGCTATTGAAGTGTAGAGAAGGAGGGGTACTTGAATTTATGGATGTAGCTCAAGAGCTTGTCCAAATTCCTTCAACTAGTGTTAGGGTTCACTAAATCACTAAACGATACGCTCTCGGTACCAGCTCGAGTTTTTTTCATTCTCAAAGTTCGAATACGAAACTTTTAATTAAATGAAGAGATTCCGTCCATCTCATTATACTTGGCTTTTTGGTGGTTTGAGGATTTCTTTGTTTATATTTTGATAGAGCCTTTGAGGGTTTCTTTTTTTTTTTAGTGAATCTCAAATTTATGATGAGATATTTATAGCGGTTTATATATATTGTTACTTAAATTTTCGAAGTCTACGATCATGAAAAATCTGTTATGGTGTTACAAAAGTAAGATATTCTTATATTACAATGTCTCCTCTGCCGTGTAATTTTGTTGAGCTTTCTTTGCCACTAAATTTGGGACCCATTTTTGTACTGATAAGAAGAACCTGTTTATAAACCATGGTCGTAGCACCTTAATCATGTTCTCTTCATTGGCAAACTTGACTGTATAGTTCTCTTCATTAGGCTTCCAAAGGTCTTGTATTTTTTGTTTAAGATAGTGGTACATTAGACGTTTCCTCATGAGCTTTATAATGACTGAATATTTTCATGGGTTGTAGATACGCTGCCTGTCGACATCCATTACTATTATTTGTCTCAAATTTTATGTCAATTCCCCCGCTAACGTTGCACCTGGCTCCGATAATTGTATCTCCATTGGAATTGTTGAAGTCTCTTCACTGTGTATTTGTAGTAAAGACTTCATTTTCTAGTAGTTTATCCTTGTAGGATGATGTGGGTGAAACTGGGTTTATGTTTATGTCTTTAGGCTTTGGTGGGATTTGAGTTTGGTTTCCTGATCGGTTATCTAGTGAGAAGTCGCTCATTCTCTCTCTAGCTACAAGAATTCCAGTACAAATATACTTTGAAGTAAAGATTCCTCGCCCCCCCTCCCCCCNTATATTTAAATAGTTCAAGTCTACTTTGAAGTGAAACTTTAAATAAATTAGTCCACTGAGTAATAATAATAATAATAAGATTAATAACACAATACAAAACCGCGAATCAATAATTAAGATGCATGTCACTTTCAATTTTCACATAGACCTAGTCCAATTTCACTTACTGCCACTTATAGTAAATTAATACTTAAAATACCTCTTAAGTCCTACGTGAGCCTCTGGAAACTTTGTATTGGTTAATAAATTTCTTTTACCTATTTCAACGCAAAAAGATCTTCCACTTATCAGTATAACTTTCTGGTTATAGTAGATTTCTTGGCATCTTTATAAGTTGTCAGTTCATATATTATAAAAAGTTTCTTTAATTAGTTTTAAAACAGTGATAATTTTGTAAATTTCTTTTAACCATTCAGCCTATAAAAAATAAATTCCTATAGAGAGCAACTGGTTGATGAAAATCAACAGGTTTGTAAAGTTAGAAGAATTGACATGGAACAAGAAACAAAATCTCTCTGAAGACCACAAGACTCTTTCTTTATAAGGAATCGACTACTTAATTATTATTATTCATCATTAGTGGCGGAAACATAATTTTCACCAAGAGAATTGAAAAAAAAAAAAACACGCAAAAAAACGAAGAGGATTCAACATTTACTATGTATACATGAAATAAAATTTAACCTTATATGTATAATATAATTTTCGAATACCCACCTAGGTCCACTCCTAATTAGAACTTAAAAGTAGCTCAAATACTTCCATATGTATACAGGGACGGCCCGTCCATAAAGCAGGTAAAGCAACTGCTTTAGGCCCCATATTTGTGGAGGCCCCATTTTTTTTTTACACCTAATAGGCTATATATAAATTTTAAAAAAAAGTTATGTGAAGTGAAAAAGTTTGATTTCTTGATTTAACAAATAAAGAGATGAAGAATTTGCAACTGCTTTAATTTCAGCCAAGAAAATTGCATTTGAAATTAATATCGAATCTGAATTTTATAAGAAACATGTAATATATAGGAAGAAGCAATTTGAGCAGAATGTTAATAGTGAAATCTCAAAATCTATCGAAGAATCCTTTAGAGTTGATTACTTTTTATACATACTCCCTCTGGTCCATAATAAATGACTTTTTTAACCTTTGTTGTGCCCCTTAAGAAAATACTGACTCCTAGAATAAAAATGTATTTTGACTGAATTATCCTTAATTAAAATTTATATGTTGTTAACTTGACACATTGAGATATGTAAATAAGGGCAAATTTTGAAAAAATAAAGTTAATTCATTCTCGATTATATAAAAGGACACTTATTTTGGACCAAAATAAAAGTAAAAAAAATCACTTATTATGGACCGGAGAGAGTAGTAGACAAGGTTATTTTTTCACTTTAAAATAGATTTGAACAATTAGAGGCATATGAAAATATTTTTGGTTTTCTATTTAGCGATAAAAACTGAGATCACTAGTTGATGGAAATTTGAAAAAATATTGCCTTCATCTTGAAAGCTCCTTAAATCATAATAATCAGGACCGATATTGATAATTTAGATTTATTTTCTGAATAAAAAATATTAAGAAAAATAGTACAATTAGAAGATAACAATTTAATTGATATACTCAATCAAATAAAAAGGTTTGATTATTTTTCAAATGCCTATATTACTTATAGAATAATGTTAATAACTCCTATTACCGTTGCTTCAGCGGAAAAAGGTGTTTCAAAATTAAAATTGATAAAACCTTACCTAAGATCAACAGTGTCTCAAAGATATTAAATGAATTAGCTATGTTGTCAATTGAGAAAGACTTATTAGGAGAAATTGATTATAAAAAATTAATAATAACTTTGTATTTAAAAAAGTTAGAAAAATAGATTTCAAATAAAAATAAAATATTTTTTATTAATAAAAAAATTAATGCCCCTCGTAAAGTTTGACTTTAGGCCACGAAATTAGTGGCCCGCCCCTGTATGTATATATTATTGAAAAACAAAAGTTCTAGTAACTTATTTTCTACTGTAACAATCACTGTGGCTGCCCCTAATTTTACTTCATTGACTCCGTCCAAATTTAACACATCTATTTAAACACTTATTCATTACCCCTCTTTCTTCATCCTCCTCTCGATAACTCCTTTTGTTTTACAAAAAAATCCCTTATTCTCAATTTTCCTAGCTTTCTCCTTGTGCAATATATTATTAAAAATGGTGAAAATAATTATGAGATTTGCTAGTTCTTTGCTAAAGGAAATACGGTTTAGTGAAAGGAGTAACTCCAGAAGAAAAGCCAAGGTTGAAACTAGTACTACTTCTCCTACTACTTATGTATGCAGAGATGAGCTGAATATTAAGAAGAAGCCCAAAATCAAGAAACAAGTGAAATTTGATCTTGAACCTAAATACCAACATCCAGCAGAAGAAGAAATTAGCCATGAGGAGCAAAAGAAAAATAATACTGTTGCTGTTGATAATGCAAATAATGGGATAATTAAAGTGAAAATATTGATGAAAAAGGAAGATGCAGAAAGGCTGTTATTGAAGTGTAAAGAAGGAGGGGTACTTGAATTCAAGGATGTAGCTCAAGAGCTTGTACAAGTTCCTTCTACTAGTGTTAGGGTTCTGTCTTCTTCTAGTAACAGTAGCGGAGCCATATCAGTCTAAGGGGTGTTGGTCTTCGTCGAAAAATTATATTATGTACATTTAGGTTAATTTTTTTTTAATTTTTACGTGTATCTATTATATTGAATCGATATCCCTTAATTAGTGAGGTTCCAGGTTCCACCGCTGTCTAGTTTTCATTCGAGGCTATTCATGAAAAATGTTAAGAGTATTTAAGAGCTCCTTTCGATTATATGTTGTTGATCTCAACATAATGGAAATATTTATAGCATTCCTATATATTAGCTCAAATTTTAGATGCGTACACAATTCTGTTGCCATTGAACTTTGAGTTTATTCGATCAAATTTATGTGCTGTTATTGTGGGGGAAGAATGAAAAGATAGAGAAAGGAAATGCCATTAAACTATGAGTTTAACTTATATACGATGGTTTAAGATCTTAAAATTACAGTATCTGTAAACTAATTAACCTCTTGATCTTTATTTCCACCCCAAATATTAGAACTACACTCTAATAATTACACACTTTCACTTTAAACTCAAGTAATGCATATATAGTTCAAATATAGCCTACAACTTCTTTCTTTTTTTCTTGTGGTTTAATTTCTTATTTGGTGTCCGGTACTCGCTTTGAGGCCTGATTAATTTGGATTTGTGTGAGGAAGTTCCACTTTAGAAGGTAATACGCTTTTTATTAAAGACGACTCCACTTCGGGGCTTGGACTCAAGATCTCTTAATAACGATAGAAAAAATATTTTTCATCCGCCACAATCTCACACTGTCTATGTTATGAATCCAGAATCACAAAATAAACTTGCTGACGGGGCTGTCGAGTTGGGTGCTGATGTGGAGTCCAATACGGGAAGGGGCAAACGAGTGCGACAAATTCCTTCAAAGTTACGTGATTATGTAGTGGGACATGGGTAATGCAGTTATAGGAGTTGGTTATATAAGGCAGGGTAGTGAATTAGGAAAAGTTAGGCAGAAGTTATTGAAAATATTCTCTTCTCATCTATATCTCTGTAATTCTGCTTCTCATCTCCTTCTTCTTCTTTTAGTTGTTACTCCCTGCAATTCTATGTTAATTTCATCACTGTAATTCCCTTTGCATATCAATATAAGTTATTGCTGGTGTGGTTAAGTATTATTAGTAGCAACTGCTACATTGGTGCTTTCATTCTCTTATGTCCGAATCCGAACTCAACACTCCTACAATTTCTGATATGGGTCCTAATTCGGAGTTAGATATAATCCGTTCCACGATAGCTGACTTGGCTGCCCAACTCGCCAATATCACTGCTCGTTTGCCGCCATTGGAAGAATCTCATCCACGTCCTATCGGTGAACTAGCGTTACAATATGTACATCATAAACCGGCTCGTGTGGATTTTGGTCGTTTCTACGGTGTCGATCCAGAGAGTTGGATCTTTCAAGCAGAACGTTACTTTGAGTTTTATGACATTATTGACGAACATCGTTTGTCCTTGGCCTCGTTTTATCTCGACGACGCTGCTCTAATTTGGTATCGATGACTATTTCGAAATAAACAACTAAGTGACTGGAATTCTTTTACGGAGAAACTTTTGTTGCATTTTCGCACTCATCATTTGGAAACGCCGGAGGTCGTTTATCCAAGATGTTCCAGACATCGACGGTTGAGGAGTTTCGATGCCGATTTGAAGAGGTTGCCGATGAGTCAATGGCCTTGCCAGAGCAGTTTCTAGTTCGTTATTTTACTGCTGGGTTGCGAGACGATATTAATTCATCTGTCTTACTACATGAGCCTAAAACTTTAGATGAGGCCATTAAGGTGGCCCAACTACATGAGCGAAGAATAACTGCTGAAAAAGGGCCACCCAACCCGCTTTTCCTAAAACCCAACCTCTCTTGCCCACTCAACCTCATCGCCATCGACTTTCTCTTCCACCCCTAATCCTCGCTCCACCCTTTTGGCCCTCCCAGCTCTAAAACCACATACAAACCCCAATCGTCTCCCTCTTAAACGCCTTACCTAGCCGAAATTTAGAATCGCCGTGAGAAGGGCCTTTGCTATTATTGTGACGAGAAGTATTCTGCTTCTCATAAGTGCAAATCTCTTCCTCAATTATTTTTGTTAGTTGCTGAGAACGAAGGGGAGACTTCGGTAGTGGAACCCCTCACTATTGATGAAGCTTTGGCAGAGGAACTCCAATGTTTAGAGGTTAAGGAACATTCCTCTATTTCTTATCATGCACTGGCTGGAGGGCATTCACCACATACTCTTCGATTCACTGGCCATGTCAATGGATCTCCGGTTCAGGTTTTGCTCGATGGGGGAAGCACGCATAATTTTATTCAGGCTCGTGTTGCTAAATTTTTGCAATTGCCAATTGAACCAACTCCAAATATCATTGTTCTCGTGGGAAGTGGGCAGCTCCTCCGTTGCGATGGGCTAGTGAGTCAGATTCCTCTGACTGTACAAGGTTGTGAGCTTTACCTTGATTTTTATGTGCTCGCACTACACGGAGCTGATTTGATTCTAGGAGTTTCTTGGCTTGCTACATTAGGTCCAGTGGTCAAAGATTATTCCACTCGCATTTTTGAGTTCTCTTTCTAGGGAACAAGTGATCGTTGGCAAGGGGAATCACCTACGGGGGTCCAACTAGCTCAGCTACATAGTTTACATCGTCTAACGGCTACTGATGCCATATCTTCCTTCTTTTGTTTGGAGTTGATGCAAGAGGACATGGTCACTTTTGAAAATACTCCAGTTGACCTTAAGGAAATACTCAATTCATTTGAAGATGTCTTTCAGAAACCTCAAGGTCTGCCTCCAGAACGATCCCAAGATCATGCGATTCACTTACAACCAGGTACCAATCCTGTTAATGTCAAACCATATCGTAGCGGCCTATAGATAATGCGAAAATCATAGCCCAGTAATTTGCTCAACCACTTCTGTTGCTCCGGAGTTTGGATTGTTTGAGTGGTAAGATTTTGAAGTGCCTGTTGGTCAGTAAGTATTGTAAATTTGCGTCCAAGTAAATATTGTCGCCATTTACCAACTGCCTAGGTGATAGCAAACATCTCTCGGTGGTAAGTAGAAGCTCGTTGCATGCGGGGGCTTAATTTTCTGCTAAAGAAAGCTACAGGATAGCCCATTTGAGATAAGATTGCGCTTATCCCCACACTAGATGCATTAGTTTCTAGCTGAAATTCCTTACTAAAATCAGGAAGTGCAAGAACATGAGTCGAACTTAGACACTTCTTCAAGGTTTCAAATGCTTCCTATGTTTGCACATTCCATTGGAAGTTATCTCTGCGCAATAGGTCGGTCAAATGAGCTGCGATGGAAGCATAATGATAGATGAATCTCCGATAATATCTAGCGAGCCCCAAAAAACTACGAACATCCTTCGCATTATTGGGAGGTGGCCATTGCTGGATGGCAACAATTTTTGTCGGATCGACTGCCAATCCTTGATGAGATAGTACGTGACCTAGATAATCAATAGTTTGTTGGCCGGATAAACACTTGCTCCTTTTGGCTACTAACTGGTGATGTCGGAGCAGTTGTAGCACCAATTGAAGGTGGGTCAAATGAGCAATCCAATCAGGACTATAGACGAGTATATCGTCAAAGAAAACCAACACGAAACATCGCAAATAAGGTTGGAAGATGTCATTCATGGTGGCTTGAAATGTGGAGGGAGCATTGGATAACCCAAACGGTATAACCAAAAACTTGTAATGGCCATCGTGAGTCCTAAATGATATTTTCCCAATATCTTCTATTAGAACACGTATCAGGTGGTACCCCCGAGAGTAAGTCCAGCTTAGAGAAGTACCGAGCCCCATGTAATTTATCTAAAAGCTCATCCATCATGTGAATTAGAAAGAGATCATGCACAGTTAGGGCATTGAGGGCACGATAATCCACACAAAATCGCTATGCTCCATCCTTCTTTCGAACTAGTAACACCGGAGAAGAGAATGTGCTAGTACTGGGTCGAATGATACCTTCTTTTAACATCTCAGTGACTAATACTTTGGGAAAGCATCTTCCTGAATGACCTTTAAGGGTTATTCTTCTGTCGTCCATTCTTTTATCGTCGGAACGCAATCTGAAATTCTCATGGTGCCGACTATTATCAAATTACTCAGCCCCCAATTCATGTTTAGTTTACCTTGTTCACTAGCCCATATTTATTTCTTATTACTTTGGGGTCTATCTTTTCCTTCTGATAATCACATTAGAGTCGCGAACTTATTTTTTTGAAATGAGGATATGACTTTATGGCCTATACTCTCTTGTTGTCTCAAGGCCTGTCACTTCTCGTCTTTTCCTTTACTTGATTATAGACTCTGTAACACTGTCATATATGTTTTTTGATCTACCGTTGTCATCCATGTATCACATCTTACTCATAATGCTTCATTAAGTCTCTTCTTATTTCCCGCTAACATATGTGTCTATTACTTTATTCTGAAAACTCGAACAAGACATTCTTTTGCTTTTGGCTCCTCTTGACCCATCCATTGGCTCTTCGAATTGCCTAACATTCTTTCCCCACTAGGGACGAGAGTCACACTAAGGTAATATTTATCCCTTCAAGGCTTCCAGTGCCTATCTTTGTAGTACTCATATCTAGCTGTACTATTTTAGAGCGCACCATCTGGGTGTCTCACAAGGAGATCTATTAGCACATTTGCAATATCCTTCGGAAAAGTCAACTAACGCAAACAATCCATCTACCATTTTGGGTCACTCTAACCTCAGTCGGATCCTGATATCCGTCCTTCTCTTATACTACTCTGTTACTGCTGAAGGTAACTCACAATGTTTATATTTTTCTGTCTGAGTTGTATATACCGATAATCTTCATTAACTGGGTACTTCGTACCCTTCTCATCTTGTTCCTTTTACTTGTTAAAGCTTGTAACTACCTTCTGAATCTCTCGTTGCTTTTATTTTTACAATATGAGTGGATAAATATTCTTGCCTTGAGGCTCCTTATTAAGAAGCTTACACCTTTTAGTACACACATGATCTGCTAAAGA